CCTGTTTTAAAGAAGATCAGGTGTTTTCTTGTTCATATGTACTTTAAAAAGTCAACAATTTCCAAGAGGCGCCCTTATTTTGTCAAAATCGTACAACATCTACCATTTTCAGTGTCACATGTTAGGATGTGAACATGTGCATAGCTGAGGATGATGGTAATGTCAATAATTTACTGGAAAGTACAGGATAAAGTTACATGTTGGCCTGATGTTGGCACCAAGAATCGCCAAAAAAAGTCATAGCAATCAGAGTTGTTACAGCTCATACTAAGGGGTGCATGAATGTGTCCAGCAAATATCGTAAAAGAAATTTTTGTGGAACAATGGACCGACTCAACATTGCCTCTCTGACTGCCAGCGCAGAGCTGAAAGTTTCTGTCTCGGACAAACCTCTCGGTTCGGTCGAGGCGCTGGTCTTCTGTTTTTCACAGCCAGCTGAAGACAGAACGTAAACAGACACACAAACAGAATCGCTGCCACACACGTGACCGTAATCAGGAACAGCGAATGGTGGAACTCTGCAGGACAGAAGAACAACTGAGGTTTAGCTGGGAGACGATTCATCACACGTATGTAGAACATTGTCAATACAGACGGAAACACACACACACACAGATATCACTTACTGTCCACTGCGTAGTCCATTGGAGGAGCCGTTGTTACAATGTCTGAAAAACAGAAACAAATATATCTATATATTTTTAGTTCAACGCAAACAGCATAAGCATGCAATGCAAAATAAGCTTTTGCTTTTGCTTACTCTAACGTGGGAGAGGCTTTGCTGTGGAGACGGGTCCAAAAGTCTGAGACCAGGAGTGAAGCTACTTCTATTTTTGCAGTAAACTTCAATTTGATAAACATTTTTGTGCACGCGACGACATCAGATTTACAATTTTATTGAAAACGTCTGAAATGTACATGAATTGCAGAATATGTTGGTGTTTTGTTTTGACTCCACAAGTTAGTTCAAACCTGATAACTCTCATTATCCCAACATAATCTGAATTCTTGGCTTTCTTAATATTCAGGTGCTCCCATAGAATGAATGTTGAGATCAGGTGACTGTGGAGGAAAGTCCTTCTTTGGCTTTTAAATAGTTCTTGCAATGATTTGAGGCATGTTTAAAAGGATCGTTATGCTGCTGCAGCGTGAATCCTTCTCCATGAAGATGCACACCAAAGGGTGCAGCGTGTTTATGAAGTGATACTTTCCTTGATCAGGGTGGAGTCGATTTGGTGCAAGTTTCACTCTGGCTTAGCTGATCTCAAGCATTTGGCTTCTGTTTGACCCCTGAGAAGAGGTTTAGAGCAGTGAGCAAAGCCTGATTTACTAATCTTCAAATGGACACAGCTGGTCCAGTGTCGACAAAGTGCTTCAGAGGCCATGTACTGCCACATTGAGACCTTCAGTCTAGCCATGATTTGACTCTGAGAAAGCCTCCTTATGATTACAATAACAGTCTGACCTCTTATACGTCACATCTCTGAAGCCTCAGTCACAGCACGACTTTTGTGATTGTACGTCCTCTGCGAATTTTGGGTGCCGTGGAGGTCGTGGAGGTCGAGGAAAGGTTGCAAGGGCTCCATCAGAAAGATGTAAGAAAGGCACAAGTCTGCTATGTGAGTCGCAGGGGAGACGTGAGATGTCCATCCAAGCAGGGATGCTCATTGCAACGTGCGCTTGCCGTGGAAATTGTACTCATTTCTTGAGTTTGTCTTGCCACCTGCATACATGGCACGCCCTCACCACTCAGGAAGAGAATGGAACGCACGGCCAAAGTAAGTCACACTTGCCTCACACACTCGTGATGACGTACTGACGCCGTCAGTTTGGTGTGATGTTCAAAAAACGTAACAGAGGCATTTCTGCGATCAGGTGGTGATATGCTGTCTTGTAAATTCTGTTAACATACTGACAGGGTTTGAGCTTAAGGACGTCCCGTCATGCCAAAAACATAGTTCGGGAATGATACAGGTATGGTTTTGTGCAGCACACACACAGATCCTTACAAAGTGTGTGTGTTCTCAGCTTGTCTCTGTGTACAAGGCTGGACAGTCAGTAACTTAACTAACTCTTAAGTGATAAGAAGAGGACACTCAGCTCAGAAACAGTGAAGTCAGAGCAAAAGAGACTTTAGTCTGCAATCTTTTCACATGGATTTGTAGAAAGTCATGCCGCTGCTTCACATAATTTGGACGCAGTAAGAGCCCGTACGGCCGGTTGTGACTGAGGCTTTAATCAGTTATATTTTGCTGGAAACAGGAAGTGTAGTCATAATTTAGTCAACCCAAGCTTCATCTGAACCCTGCTTTAATTTAATTGTTGATCTAGATATAGACATTTCTTTATTACTGAACATGTCAAAATCATGTGAAAGTTTCTAAATCCTCAAACTTCCTCATTATTTACACGTTTTACATACATATATGAGGTCTCAGACTTTTGGACGCCACTACTTTCAACTTCGTCAGGAATGGAAACTTGTACAAAAAAGCAGAACATTTACAGTAAAGGTGACACTACTTAGTTCTCGGTTAAAGTCTGAGAGATTTTGTTTAATTTTTTTGAGATTATAAGCAGAGCAGAATAAATATTTCTGCCAGATAGGATAAGATAGTAATTCTTTATTGATCCCAATAGGGGAAATTCAGGGTTTCAGATACCCTGAAACAAATATTATAGTGTCTAAACTTTGCCCTTATCTGTTTGGTTAGATATTAACCAGCAACCAGAGAACGATTTTATAGCATGTACCTGAATGGCATGTGTATAGATGAGGATTTCTGGTGACGTTCAGCTGTATGGTGCTCATATAGTCACTGGTGGCGTTGACAAGCGCTCCGCACAAGTACGTCCCGCTGTCCTCTAAGGTCAGTTTATTCACTCTGACGATGAAAAAGGCTCCAGAGGTGTTGTCGTACAGAGAGAATCGACCTTTTGTCACCCACCGGTTGTGTTTTTCTGTCTGTATCAGGAGACTGGACACCTGGTTAACAACATGGCGGAAGTACGTGGCTTTGCTCAGCTGTTGGGCTCGATATTCACACCTGAAGTCAAATCTCTGACACTCCACTCCAGTTACAGCTGTGGTTGTGGCACCGGTCAGAACTGTGGGTCAGCGTTGGTGTTAGTCAGTCGTACGGATGGGTTTGCAATAAAATCTGCTTTAAATACTCATATGTGTAGTGCACAACTCACCTCGGACATGGAGAAGAATAACAATGAGAGCTGCAGTTGTTCTCCACGAGACCCAGTTCGCTCCCATCACTCCCAGTTTGCCTTCAGTCCACACAGTCAGATTCTGTAGGCGCGCAGTAAGCGAGCAGCCGGACTACAGATTGTGCCCCTGAGCTAAATCACCTGCCCTCGTGTCCATGTGTTTCAACCATTTCCTCTTTCACAGACGTGCATGTCCACATATAAATCCTCCTACTGTGTGAATGTGAAACCACGGTGCTTGATGGCCTCAAAAAGTCAACTTTGCGTGTTAATTAAGTTTTTTTTTTTTTTTGCTACACAAGCACACCCAGAAACCACTGTTTCTGCTTCCAATAAGGTATTCCCATCCTCTTCTGTAATCCATATATGTTAACTGTAAACTACACTTTTGGCATCTGGTTTCTGGTTTAATTTGTGAGAATTCTCACTACAAATTAAACCCTTCACATAAAACACAGTAGTTTAATTGACTGGAATACAGATTGGTGCAGCTTTTTATTATTCAAATGTGTCCAAGCACATACTCAAAGAAGAGAAACCAGATATTTTAGATTACAGAGAAGGACGGCCAAAACATTAATGGATGCACAAAACAGTGGTTTCTGTGCGTGCTAGTGTAGGGAAGAAAGAAGTCCAACAATACACACAACGCTCACTTTTTGACTCACTAATGCACCATAATTTCACTTTCATGCGGTAAGGAAATTTATATATGGACATGTTTGTGTCTGAAAGAGGAAGAGGTTTAAACACATGTACATCAGAGTTCAAGACTCAGAGCGTCTTTCACAGCAGCGAATGTTGTTTTTGGTGTTCTTAGCTATTCCCATTGACAACCATTAGCTGTTTCGAAATCAAAGCTGTTTCACCTTTATCCATCCATCCATTATCTATACACCGTTTAATCCTCATGAGGGTCGTGGGGGGCTGGAGCCTATCCCAGCCGACTTAGGGTGAAGGCAGGGGACACCCTGGACAGGTCACCAGTCTATCACAGGGCTACACTTAGAGACAGACAACCAAGCACACTCACATTCACACCTACGGACGATTTAGAATCACCAATTAACCTCAATGTGTTTTTTGGACTGTGTGGGAGGAAGCCAGAGAACCGAGAGAGAACCCACGCTGCACGGGGAGAACATGCAAACTCCACGCAGAGAGATTCTGGTGCCCCCACCGGGAAACCGGCAACCTTCTTGCTGCGAGGCAACAGTGCTACCCACCGATCCACCTTGCAGCTGTTTCACCTTTATTTTTTTTCATTTTTATTTTTATTTTTTAAATAGACTAACTATACAGTAAAAGCTCCAGCAATTGCAAACAAACAGAGTTAATGGCCAAGTGGTGAGCATTTAGCAGCTGAGGAGCCAAATATTTGCTTCGGGGGTTGGTCGAGTCAAAAAAACAGCTAAAATCGAGTGAATAATGGACCTAAATTTGCTAGAAGGCCTGACGGTACACTTGAGATGAATCCCTGTGTTTGCTGGGTACACGAACAGCTAACTGTTTAAACATTTGCCGTACGGTTTGTTCTACGACTCTCAACTCGCCAAAAAAAATAAAAATAACAACAATAATTAAACTCTTTAAAACTTTTATAGTGTGTTTATTAAAAAAAGACATTTGCATCTTAACATGCATTTTTAATGTCTGATTTATGTAACATGATATATTTCAGAGGCTGAGGCGCTAAATAAATACTGTCAAATAGTAAGAAAATAAGCATCTCGTAAGGATACAATCCTTTTGTGAAATGAAAATGCAATTTCTGGCCTTGATTTTACGTGACATCTCTGTATTATTTGGCTATTAATGTTTAATGGAGGATATTTACATGAGTAAAAACATGAATTATATTATCATCATCAACAACAACAACAACCATCACCTACAAGAAACAACAAACAAAATGATACAAATTGTATTGTAGATATTCAACATTAATGAAAACACTTTTTGTCATGAAAACTTCTGAAATTTAGACGAGATATCTTTTAACAAACAAATTTTTATTGTTTTTTTTATGTCATTATGTCACTTATGTCAGAAAAATTCATTTTTTCTTTACAGCTGAACTTTCATAGTTACTGACAGTTGCAGGTTTTTCATGTTATTTTATGTTAGACATGTCAGTTCAGTTGGGTTTTGTCATTGTGCTGACATCGTCTTGTATTTGAAACACAGGACAAAAGACAAATACAAAAAACTACAGAAATACATAGAATCACAGATGTTTTTGACAGTATGTCAAATCAAAATTCATGAAGCCAGTACGTCTCTTCTTACACCATCTAAACAAATAATCCCAAATCAACAGTCCCTTTCTTTACACTTCATCGTTAATTAGACATCAGTGTAAGTTTGTCACATATTGCAAACTAATATGTTTCACAACAGTGTGTAAGAAGGTCTTTTTTTGGATTCATTTTTATCGATATGCAGTGCTGTCTGCCACAGTGTCCTTATTGATATGACCACTAGGAGGAGCCAAAATCTGATAGATACTCTAAAGCTTGTAGTAACTGCAAACACAGTCACACAAATACAAAGACTTGTTATTGCCAACGCAGAACATTGTGTAGCCTGCATCATGCACTGGATCCCAACTGTTCCACCAGATCTTAACCAGAACTGTGAACACACACACACACACACACACACACACACACGGTAATATCTAAACAGCCGATCATAGTGTACAAGCTTATAATAATAATGTTGAAGATGTTGTTCATAACTGGAGAACTTCAGCTGTCCATCAATGTCCATAAAAATCCGGCTTTTGAGATTAACTGTGATTTACTTCTGTTAGATCCAAACCAAACCAAACCGATCTGGGCTTTTGATTTTTAGGACACCCATCAGCTGGTCTTTCAGATAATATGGGCGGCAAAGGCTTGACGTACATCCCAGAGTTAATGTCGGGGTTGTTTTGGACGGCAGAACCTGCAGGGCCTTTGGAGAAAGAGACGTTTTCATAGATTGGAACGGGTCTGCCACATTCAGCTGCTTTGGATCCAGATGTTGGTGGATTCTGTCTCGGGTGTTGAGCACTGACAGATTTGACCTCAGGTAACGTTTTAGCACACTGGACCACTGCGTCAATGTCGTCATACTCACAGTCGACCTGCTGAGAAGGTGAAAAGAAAAACTGAATCAGCCAGGTCTTGTGTGTTCTACATTTTGCTGAGTTAAATTTGATTGTGTTTGTGAATTAAATCTGAGCAAAGCCATGTTAGTTCAACAGAAACAGCATGATGTTTTTATCTGAATTTAAAATGCATGTGTGAATTAGAAAGACAAAACTGAAGTAACACTGTTTTAAGTTCACAATTTTCTAAAAGAAAGCATTTAATTGTAAAAATATGAGAAATGTATATTTCCTTAAAAGAATTCTCCATTTGACCTTTAAGTAAATAATAATTTCATATTCATTTGGAATATTGGAAACAAAATAATGCTACATATGAGAAATATTGACCATTTACGCTGAGTTAAATGGACTTACTTTTAAACATATTTCACATTTTTGCACGTTCAGCTGTCTGTTCAATCTATCGCTTGCAGCCAGTTAGCTTAGCTTAGCATAAAGACGGAAAACGAGAAAAAAACAGCCAGTATGTTCAAATGTGTGAAATATCCACATAGCAGCACTTCTGAAGCTCATCAAACAAGCTCAGAGTTTGATCTATTTAAACACCAAAATCTAATACCAACAAGTTGTCGTTTGTTGGAGGTTGTGTACCATTTTACGGTCAAAAGCAATGACCCTAAGTCAGCTGGGATAGACTCCAGCCTCCTCACAGCCCTAGTGAGGATGAAGCGGTGTATAGATAATGGATGGATGGACATGCAGATCAGTTGTTCTCTGACATAACATAGAACATTAAAAAAACAAAAATCAATTTAGCTGTTTACAGAGTTGTTGAAATGACTTGTTGTATGATACACCCGTAAATAAAACCCAGAGCATATTTTTATGCTTACTATTTACTTTCCTGTTTTTTAATTGCACGACCACAGTGTTTGTGCATTAGGTTCTGCACACTTCCGAAATGTAGCTGACCTACATCAACATGCCTAAATGTCTTTTGTGTTGACGAAGGTGAATCATCCGAGCTGCAAATACTTCACCATTTATATAGGGTGTAATGCTCAACAAGAAAACAAATCGGTATTTTTCCTGAAATGTCAAACTATTCCTCTGTCACTGAGCAACACTGAGAATACTTGTGGTTTGTTGTGGTTTTAAAGCATCCACGTGCAAAACTTATGCTGATTTAAAAAGGAGAAATGTGGCCTTTGGAAAAACCCCCTCAGTAGAGTAAACAACAGAAACAAGGTCATTTAAACGGGAAATGATTTAAATTAAAATCGCTTCTCAATACCTGTATTATTTCTGAGATGACAAGAACAGTATTTTATCTTATGGCTGCTTATAAACAAACAGTTTGTAAAGACTATATTGGAAATACAGGCCCCAAAGCAGACTCTCAATGCAACAAAAGTGAATACACCACTGGCGCAAGTTAGAAAACCTGTGATCACTAAACAATGGAGGATGTCAGTTCATTATCATTCATCATTATAAAATTACCTTTAAACACTTAGGACCTAAGTCTATCTGCATGTCTGCATCGTGGCTCCATATGGGAAAGAACTGGGAGAGAAACCAAAACAATCTAATGGTGAGACTTTGCAAGGATGGAAAAGGATACAAGAAGACCAACTAAAAATCAGGTTAAACACAGCAGAAATCAAGAAATACAGAATGAGCAATGGCACCACTAACTGGAGGTTTCCACATAAAATAACACAGTGGAGAGTGCACTACTTGCATAGTCTAGCTCTAAAAAAAAACAAAAAACAGACAGGCAAGGACTTTAGACTTTAGACATGGCACATGGGCTGTGAATGGAAATCAGAGCTTCGGTGCTCCAGGTAAAAAAAAAAAAAATGTTGCTTGATCTTTGGTAACTGTAAGAATAAGCTTTGCTAAAGTACATGAAAAGAAGCCTGATAAATAGTAGGAGCATACTTTGATAAGACCAAGATATATCATTTGTTTATATCACATTGGGGTCCAGTATGTTTGGCATGAACCTGCCAAGGGCACCACAGTGAATGCATAGTCCTAGTAGGTGGAAGTGTGAAGATATGGGACTGCGTGCTTGCTAAAGGTGCTGACAGGGGTGACACTTATAGATGGCACCTTGAATGCCTGTGGATATATCAAAATACTAGCTGACAAGATTCCGCTCGCAAGGTTACCGGTTCGATCCCCCGCCCCTCCACAGTCGAAGTGTCCTTGGGCAAGATACTGAACCTGAAGTTGCTCCCAATGGCAGGCAGCACCTTGCATGGCAGCTCTGTCGCCATTGGTGTATGAATATGTGTGTGAATGGGTGAATGAGAAACACATTGTAAAGCACTTTGGATAAAAACGCAATATAAGTGCAGATCATTTATGACTCCCAGTCTCCACAGGAGGAATATTCCATCATTATAATGATCCAAAACACACTGTTAAAATCACACAAGAGTTTCCAGTGAGGAAAACTGAAAATTTTGACTTGACCAAGTATGTGGCCTGACTTTGGGATGTTTTAAGGCGAAAGATAGAGAAACACAATCCCTTCAGTCAAGAGCAGCTGGAAAAAAAAACCTCTCTGAGAAATGGCAAAACGTCTGTCCAGTTATTTTCTATCCTCCGTGCCGATGAAGATTGAGTCTGTCAATGTAAATCATGATGCACGTACGAAGTATTGTGAAGATAAATATTTGAATTTCAGCAAGGAAAGGTGCACTTTTGTTGTATTGAGTTAGTACTGTAGGGCCTTTAGTTTCAACATAGTAAATCTAAACTGTCAGTCTTCCATGTGACATAAGAGCAAATACCTTACTGTCCTACTTAGAAGTAATGTAGTTATTCTAAGGTGGCGCAATTTTGAATCATTTGACATTTAGGTGGTCTGAGGCAGGGGCGTTCTCACTTCTGATCTATACAGTGCAGTCACCTCTGAAACCAGGAAATGAAACTTTATTTGCTCCAGCTGGATTTAATTTGTTTTTAAAGACAGTTGTTTTGCTGCAAAGACACACCCTGACAGGTTCACCTCCTCTTTCTGCCTCGTACCTCACTTTCATGTGCATTGTCGACATCCCTGCAGTTGGAGGAAGCTCGCTCTTGAGGTTTTGAAATTTCTTTGCGTTTCCTGCAGCACGTCACGAGCATCAAGATAGTGATCACAGCTACGCCCCCGACGGTAGCGCACAAGATGGTGCCTGATCAAAAACAAGAGAGTTATCTTATCTTATCTTATCAAGCTGTAAACCAGTAGATCAGATAGAAACTCACCTATCCCGATGTTCTGTTCTGTTTGATAAGTGGTGTTTGAGGCTGCAAGACAGGATGGGATAATATGGAAGTTTACATCTCAGATTTATCTTTGTCTGCATTTAAATTTGACTCTTTTTTTTTTTTTTTTGCTCCTACCTGTTGAAATGTTTGTAGTCCAAACGGTGACTGTTTCAGTTGTTAATTGTGTTGAACTGGTGACATTCTGATTTGTCCGTGTGGCAGAAACATCTGGAACAACAGTTGTCTCATGTACAACAGCTGTATGGAAACAAGTGGTGGAGGAGATGTTCAGATTACCTAAATTTTATCAAGAAGACAATCTACTGGTATGGAATCTATTTATTTATGTTGCCATTAAGTATGTCATTTAATTAAGAGCTTTTTAACAACATATACTTTGGTACTTTGGTTGAAAGTGAAATTACCTTTACTTCCATGATTGATATATAATCATATGTAAGATTATTAGATTATTAATACTTTTACATCAATGCATAGGCAGCTTTTTATGTTGCAGCTGTTGTAACTAGTTTTATGCACAATTTAGTAGTTTAATCCAGGAGAACAAAGCTAAGTGTCGGAGCCATTATTCACGAGTCGATTCATGGACTGAACAATTTGCTTCAGAAATGTGGATTCAGTTCTTGGTTTTGTCATTGTAATACTTGTGAAATATGTGTGTTTTTTCTCTTTGAACCTCAGACTATTTTAATAAAACCGTTAAAAAATGTTTAAAAGGGAATCACTTTTTTGGGTGCGATGAATTTCAGAATCTTCTACTGTGGAGCTATAATGAAATAATGGTTTTGTGAGAGGTGATAACTGTAATTTATCATTTTAGCCGTGATTTTGAGAAACATCTATCTGCCACATAACCCCTGCTTTTAGGTAAAGGTAGCAAAGCACCAGAAGAACTCCTGAGTGGAGTCCTTTTGTGCATACTTTTTTTTTTTTTTTCAAATGAAAAGTACATTTTTCCTCTAAGGTATAGTAACTTAAAGGCAGCACAAACTGGAAATACTCTAGTGAAGCACAAGCACCTCAAATATGCACAGAACTTCACTACCATTGGGGAGATGTACATTCACAAACACAGAGACAAAAATAAAGCAAAACACTGAAATAAATTAAATTGAATGTAAACATGTCAAGCTGTTCCACGTACCTTTCTTCACAGTGAGTTGTACTGAAGTATATGTATTCACACCAAACCTCTCCACTGCACACATGTATTCCTTTGAGTCCGACAGCCGGAGCTGACTGAAGGTCACGGAAAAGGCGCTGTCCCCCGAGTCCACCAGAGTGATCCTCCCTGACTGTGCTCTTCCACCAGATGTTACAGTAGCCAGTGTGTCTTTGTCGCTTTTACATGGACTGATGCAGAAATACTTATTGTCCTTCCATGCAAGTTTGTGCGAGCACTTGAACGTGACTTCTCCCCCCTCAAATCCCTCTACGTTGATTTCGGCTCCTTTTGTCAATGTAGCTGCCAAAACTGCAACAAGAAATAAGGCCCCCTTGAGTTAAATGAATGTGGGAATGCATTTTTGGATCAGACTTACCATATAAAAGCCAGTAGAAGACAGAAATGGTCCTCATTTTGATCGATAAAGAGTCAGCTCTGTGGTTGTTTTCTATCCTGAATGGTACCTGCAGGCTCTTTATGTGGATTTACAGTCTGCGTAACAAAAACCTAAACAGCGGTCAGACTTTTTTTTAACCTGCTCCACCACTGTACACTACTGTGCAAAAGAAGTCATATCGAGATAAGAACTCAACTGTCTGGGTCCTTCCTGTGTGTTTGATCGTAGGCGGAAAAAAGCTGAAAGCTGTAGGTGTCAGACATCAACCCAAGAGAAGTGAAAGGACCAGTGACTGACACATGCAGTCTCATTCCCATTGAGTCCTTGTGGCATTTTGGGTGTTTTTGCAATGCGGAAGAATTTAAAGTAAAGCAGGAACCGAAATGTACATATATCATGAACCTACAAGATCAAATTAAACGTATTTTTGAACTCATGAGGCAGCTTTTTAATTGGAAGAGTAGAGTGCATCAACCATGTGAAACCAATGAGGGGAAGGTAAAGGGGTCACTGAGAGAGAATTATCTCTTCAATCTCCCGCTCATATCTGCCACATATGCTGCAACTTTGCTGTGTTTTTTTTTTTTGGTGGTTAAATGAAATCCACTGTACGCTGCCTGCTCAGCCGCAAACAGCAAATACAGTTAGTGAATAACTGGGGAACATAGTGGAGCCTTTAGCAGGTAAACAACCGGATATTATAGGTAGAAACAACAGGGCTAAACAAGATATTCAGCACGTGGTCACAAACTTTTGATCTATAACTTTTTGGTGTGAAAATCCATCCATCCATCCATTATCTATACACCGCTTAATCCTCATGAGGGTCGTGGGGGGCTGGAGCCTATCCCAGCCGACTCAGGGTGAAGGCAGGGGACACCCTGGAGACAGGGGCCACACTGAGAGACAGACAACCAAGCACACTCACATTCACACCTACGGACAATTTATAATCACCAATTAACCTCGGCATGTTTTTAGACTGTGTGGGAGGAAGCTGGAGAACCCGGAGAGAACCCACGCTGCAAACATTTCGGTGCCCCCACCGGGACGCGAACCGGCAACCTTCTTGCTGCGAGGCAACAGTGCTACCAACTGCGCCACCCTGCAGCCCTGGTGTGAAAATGTTGTAAGCAATTATGTTGAATATGTTTGCCGTATTAATACAAAATGTGATGTTGTGTTGCTGCAGGAAGCATGTATCCATTAAGTTTTTGGATTCCAGAAACATTGCATTGTTTGACAAAGTGTTGTGGATTTCATTGTGCTTCAAGGAACTGTTTGACATTTTAAGAAACAAACTGAGTCACTGTTTGGCAAGTAGCTACTTTTTTTGTACTGTATATATCACATGTAAAACGGCAGATGTCAACTCAATGGGATTCCATTACAGAAATATGATTAACTCTATTCAGGACTTTTGGGGTCTTTTGGACCCCAGGCCGTTTGGTTTAGGTGATAGTTATTGTTTATTTACTTTCCAAGATTTTTTTTAAATATAAAAAGAGGGACACTTGTCATGTATTTGGAGCCAAAAATACGTCAACTTATCAGAAAATGTATTTAACATAGTATAAAAGTCTATAATGAATACCAACAAATACATTTTTAAAAAATCACACATTTTTTTTTAATGTTTATTTTGCGATTGTTTTGTTGTGTTTGTTTGTGGGCATGTGCTGCTGCCTTTCTTGACCAGATCACCCTTTGATCGGTTTTGATCCCAATGGGCTTTTTATCTGGTTAAATGAAGGTAAAACAAAAATGAAAAAATATTTTACACATATTCTTTCTTGGGATCCAATGGACCCCAAAAGACCTTCTACGTATGGCAACATGAAAGTCCTGAATAGGGTTAATGTTACATGTTTACCTGACAAATTAAACCTGAAGATTGAATATCTATAGTCGGCAGCCAGTTAGCATAGCTTAGCACAAAGACTGAAAATAGTTGGCAGCAGCTAGCCTGGCTCTGTCAGAAGGTAAGTATTAATTTTTATTTTCACTCTTTATTTTTTGAACAAGTTAAACTAATGATGTTTATTATGCTTTGGATGAGGTTGATTTCATTGTCTTCAAACGGAGCCACGCTAGCAGTTTCACCTTGTTTCAAGTCATCGTGCTAACGAGCTGCCTGCTTATAATTGATAAATGGATATGAGAGTAAAATCAAACTTCCTCTTAAGCTTTTTCCTAAAATTCTTAGCTATTGCTTTCATTTTTGTCCATTCACAAACACCTTGAAGTAATTTATTTTTTTACTTTAATACCAGACAACTTATAAATTGGCCCAACACTGACTCAGTCTTGACTTGCTTTATGTAAAACAGCTCCTTTGTTTCTTCAAGAGCAGCCACAAGGAATGTAGGAGTCTCTAAACGCATGCAAGCTTTCTGCTGTGAGTCACTGTGGTTGAGTTGCCTTTAACAAAGGTTAGAAGAGTCATGTCTGCAGAAACGTAGAGGGAAAGATGCTCCTTCATGGTTTCTCCCCAGAAGGTAAAATATCGTTAGGTTATGACTGTGACTATAGATTGGCTGTGTGTTTCTCTGACGTTGCGCTCATCACACCCTTCGTGGAAATGAACAGACTTATAGTAACACAATTCAGCGAATTCATAAAAACACGTGTCACTGACGAAGCATATTAAACTCTTTTTTTGGTTTTTTATTCAACATTACAGCAGATCTTCCAATTTGAAACTTAAGTGGGATAAATAAAGAAGATATTTATTTTTATATCACCATTTTGAGAACACTTATATTTTTAAGTTTGCTTTTAGAGAGTTATAAAGAATCTAATTTCAAATCACATGTATACTGGTGCTATTTATTCATTTTTTTCTTTGGTCACTGCCCTCTTGAATTTGCTGTCTTCAGATCTTGGAAACTGCAGTTATGTGGCAGTGAGGCACATGCTAATTAAATGTACAACATGCCTTTAAAAAATTTTGGAAACGTGATCTTCAAGACAAAATCTTTTGAAGGTTTTTAAAGGAATCGACGTGCTGCTCTGAGAAGGAGCAGCGGACAAGCACCCTCTGCAGGTCTTACTGCGATACTACTCAGTATACTGCCAGTCCAGCAATGCATCCTGACCACTGTGCACCATGCTCAGTCCAGGGTTTTGGGATCCAGTGCCGCGTACGCGGAAGCGTACTGGGAGGCATCATGAGCACTGGACTCTGGGTCGACCTCTGGCTCAAAAGTCTGTAGCTTCACTCCAACAACTGCATTTTCCTCATAGTAATCACCCTGCAAAACAGTTCAAACTAATTTCATAAACATTACAGATGGACAGTTCATTTTATAATTAACAAATGCTCGCTCACCTCACTCTTGTTGCCTCTGGGTCTGTTCTGACCTTCTGAAACAAAACAAGCACATTTGTGTATCTACATTATTAACCTGCTGGGTTTTGGCCTTTGGGGTTAAAGTCTTTACTGTCTCTGTGCTCGTGTCACCTCACCTGAATTACTCCGCCAGTGTCCATAGAATATAACAGGAATAATGGCACAAACTAGAAGAGCCAGACTCCCCGAGACGATAATGACCAGTGTGGTGTCTGCAAACAACAAAAAGGGGGATCAAATAGTTAGAGAGCCTGTGAGTCCTCCAACAAAATGACTCTGATCCTAGTTACAAATGCGGATTCACTTCTCATCTCAGGCTTAACTTAACTTTGATAAACACTATGTATTTATTGTGAGAGTTGCTCTAAGACACCAAGGCATTAACATGCACTCTTCGTGGGTGCAAGACTGAAACGGAAACATATTTTTGTAGTCGTGCAAAAAGGCTGCAACAGTCTTATTTAAAGCACAACATGTCTTAGTCACACTAAAGTGAAACTCTGCTCTGTGGAAACTCTGCTGTAGTTGGTGACTGCATATTTTGACAAGATTACACAACATTTACACAACGCTACAAAATTTCCTTTTAATCCTTTTGAACTGTATATACAGTCGTCCTCAAATGTATTCATACTCTTCCATTAAAGAAAAGGCAAATTTCACAATAGTCACTCAAATAACTAGAAACTGAAAAAAGTAATAATAAATAGAAATGTGCTAAATTATGATTTAGTGAAATAAGACATTGCTTTTCAATTGTGGTTGAAAAGAATAATTAAAAAAATAAAAAATAAAAACAAATTTGACAAATTAGAGCACTTTGCTGATGAGCAGTGAAATCCAAATACCTGTCAGCAGGTGCAGAAGTCTGACTGAGAGTTACAGAAAACACTTGATGGCAGTGATTGGCTCAAAGGGTTGTTCAACTAAATATTAGTTTATGGGTCCCATCATGCTTGTTTATTCTTATTTTGTTGTTGTTGTTGTTGTTATTTATATATATTTCTGTTGAACCATGATTCAAAAGCAATGTCATGATTTCATTAAAAAAAAATTTATTATTACTTCTGTCAATTTCAACTTATTTCAGTGACAGCGGTTCTTTTTCTTCTTTAATGGGAGGGTATGAATACACTGAAGGTGACTGTATTATACTTTTTTCCACTATTACACATCAGATTTCCTGACTTTAAATGCATTTTAAAACAAATTTGGCTCATTATTTCTCCACTTGTAAATTTGATCTCAACAGTGCACTATATTGTGTCATAAGTGGAGTTTGCAACTTTTTTCACTCTTCTGCTGAAAAAAACCTTCAATCTCTCATATATGTAATTCAAAACTGAGTAATTTATGTGTCTTGAAAAATATCTTGAAGGTACTTTTCATGGAGATATTTCAGATCTAATCAAGAGCTGCAACAGCGGATCTCAGTGTTTTAACTGTAGCAAATTCTTAAAGATCTGGCATAATAATTCTTAACCCATAGCACCTATAAGGATCTTTTTATTCCTTGAACTCCAAGACTCCTTATATTATTATCTATCATGATTATATATATATTATATATTATGAATACAAGCATTGAGAGGAAGTGTAGGTGTGACAGAAATTGAACTATATGGCAACAGAGGGGTAATTTTTGTCAGCATATCCCTTAAACAGAGGAAAAATAAAGGCAGCAAGTGTGGAAAAAAAGCTCCCACCAGATATGTTATAAAGTTGAATTATTTAAAAATTCTCAACTTTGTGTCTACTCCTCCCTGATTGACAAATACAAAAATACTTTCATTCTCATAACTACTGGACACAAGATGCCTCCGACTTCAGCCTATTCTTAGTGAATTTGCGCTGGAGTTTTTAACTCATGTAAGATGCGCACTGGACTAGTTGGTATGTCGCAAATTATGTTTGCATGTCCATGTCTCTAAAATGAAATTTAATGAACTCCTGAGGCAGATGAATGTGATTTTTGAAATTTGTTACACAGAGATATATCAAGTCCAGCCTTGAAGTACCTGTGAGCTTGGATGCTTGTCCCAGGTTTCTCTTCTTCTCGGAGGGAGGCGGTGTTAAAGCTGCTGCTGATTGGTCAGTGCTGGATATAAAGTTGCCCCAGGTCAGAGTTTCTGATCTGGCCTCCAGGGCAGTAGTAGCGGAAGGGGAAGATCCAGGAGGAACAGTGGGAGCTTTGAAAGAACAGAATGGAGGATGACTGGTGTGCTTGTATGACATAGTTTCTGGCATTGTGTGTGATAAAGTGAAGTACGTGTAGGTTATATAAAAAATTTAAGAGTTTTTGTGCAAAACAAGTATTGGGAATACAGCTATTTAAAACTTGTCCTGGGTTCAACAACACAACACCAGCTTTATGCCTTTATGCAGTTTCTGGGTATTTTTTGCTACTGTCATAATTTTTACTCCCCGCCTGAGGTAAACACAGTCTGCATGTTCAGCTGAAAAGTCCCCAAATTTTTGTCATGTGGCTGTTAATACAGCTAAGTCACAAATAGTGTTTGTAGTGGTTGGGCTAAAAACGGAATCTGGTTAGAACAAAACACTTATTTTAAGGGAATTTTTGAATGAGACATAAAGAAATATTACAACGTCCAGGATAGATTTTGTCACGTTGTCCAAATGGTGTACTTTTAAAGATTTTTTTTTAACACCACTGGTGGGACTGAGAGTATGAAAACTCTATCCACACACTGATCATGTTTATATGGTTGATTTTAGCCTGTGGACAGAATCAGTTGTTTTAACAAGAGTTTTGTGGTTTAAGTGTCCTTCTGACCCACAAAACATGGACAAATAATTGTCTTGCAGTAACCTACAGGTATCCCTGACCTGTATGTCTGAGTGAACCTGCTCTGATGCCACACAGTTAAGTTTTAGCCAAAACCTTACCATCTAAGACTATGAGATTGACTTCCTGGTACAACAAATTAGCAGCTGTCTCCACTCCACAGTGATATCGTCCAGCATCCACCCTCTGCAGCTTCTTTATAGTCACAGTGAAGACTCCGTCTCTTCTGTCCACCTCCAAGTCGTATCTGCTTTGCTGTGTGACAGCAGACCTCCTCCTCTTGGTCTGAATGAGAATGTTTTCACCGGAGCAGACGTCTTTGCAGAAATACATTGTGCTGTGTTCGGAGCTGTTGTATGTGGACCGTCTACCAGAGCAGCGGATGGAAACGTCTCCGCCAACATGCCCGCTCACCTCCAGCACTTCCGATGCCTCCAAACACACAGCTGGAGTATGAAACAAAAGGTCTGGTTGTAACTGTGGAGAAGTAGCTCTGACTGAGAATTATGGTTTCTAAGAAGTGTTGCATACACAAGTTGCTCTGTGTCTCTTATGCTGTAATTGCTTTATTTTCTTTCACTGATAACATCATGATGGCTTTTTGATTTAGCTTGAAAAACTTCATGCAAATTAAACTCTTTTCAAGGAAAAACTTACTGGTTAGAAATAAAGTAATAAAGTACTGAGGGGTGTAACAAATATACATTTAAGGGTCTTTGGGCTTGCACTAAATTCAACAGCTATGTTCATGAAAAACGCCAAATTACACTTGACACTAAAAAACAGTATAAAGAATAACAACAATTATGAATATTTGTGTATGTATATGTCAATATACATGTATATAAAACAAGTTTGAATATATGTAGTTTTAATACATAGACTAAATATCAAATTTAGTTGAATAAAAATAGCAGCTGTGCATTCATAAATTTGCACTTACATTTGTAAAGTTTAGCATTCGCTTGCATCTAAATACATGCTCATATTTAAAATTTGAACTAACAAAGAAATGAAAACTCACCTGAGAAGCAACAAATCATGATGACATGAAGAAACATCATCCTGTTATCCAAGTTAAAACAAGGTCAGTAAAAGAAATAGATCAGGCAGAAAAATGCAAGTTGTGCGTCTTCAAAGTAGTCGTCTGGTTAACTGCCATAAAGATGGAGAGTCACAAAGATTAAGAAAGGTTACAAAGATGCGATTGTGTTTGCAGACTCCAGCTTCAGCGCTTGTCATTAGTAAATGGGCATGTTTCTGTTGTTGCCATGCCTCTGTGGCTGCTTTTTTTTTCTTAAACAGAGAATACACAGTACCAACAGTCGTTGCCATCCCCTTTTTCGAGTTCCTCTGATTCAAAGACCCAGCTCATGACTGCGATGAAGTAAAAAAGCATTCAGTGTTTACGTCAGGCTCCCCTACACGTCTCTGTGTGGCTTGATGTATCTGCAGAACATGAAGCTGGAGGGAGTTGAACTCAAACAGCAGTCTGTCTGCTGACAGAGTCATGGGTTTCAGAGGGCAACCTGAGGGCTGTCTCATATAGACGACAACCAGACAAAGAACACTTAACAACTCATAAAGCTTTAATTTTCAGAAAATGAGGAGAGTAAAGAGGGGGTGGACCTGTAAATAAAATTTTAGCAAAAGGAAAACCACCTCCTTAGGTTTTCTTTTGACCTTCAGTTTACTGAAATAACCCTCAATTAAAGAACACATTATGTGCCCTTTTTAGCAAATTAATGAAACTTTACAGAGACAAGCAACCCCTGATTAAGTCCTGTCCATAAAGGGGTGAGTCAGTGTCAGCTATAAATGCAGTTTTGAGCAGCTGCTTTCTATGTCCTCTTCAGGAAGAAGACTCTCTGCATCTGTGATTAACAACATGAAGCCAAACAGTTGGCCTACCAGCAGCTGGCAGAGATTTAAATGAGTGTATAAGACCAGGACGCTTCTAACTTTGTCTCTGAACAATGATTAGACAAAGAAATTTTGCCGGACTGACAGTACGGTCATTGCTTTCAACTGTGCTGCCATTATGTTAGTGGTGCAGACCCAAAGCTTGGAAACGGCAATGAAGTGAGAGCTGGTTCACATGCAGTCTTAATGGGTTGCGATTCCGTCTCTACTTCATATCCATGTCGTTGTCTCCCAACAGAAACAAAAAAATCTGTAAATGAGAACAGCTGGGAATTGAGCTGCATTAAAATGTAGTGTATGTGAGCACAGAGAGAAAGAGAGAAGCAAAGAGCTGTAAAGGGCTAAGTTTAGGTTGCACTGAAGCACAACAAGCCCCATGAAAACACAGTGCCCCACCCAGTCCTTGGTTGTTGGTCTCAAATCGCTCTTAAAGTTTCCATTTCGGATTGTCCCTCGGTGTTACATTTTCTTTCCACATACCACTGACCTGTGAGCATACAGTCAAAGCTAATGGTGATGTTGGTGACATTACCCGCACAACACAATAACACGGGTAGTCAGTTCATGTGCATGAAGACTTTTATGTTCACTCTTGCAGCTAACAACAGAACATTTTTGTGTGCTTTGCTCATAGCTGAGACATTTTAGAGTTTTTCTCCAACGAAAAGTGGTTCGTTCGTTACCACATGGAAACTGAATAATAAAATTGTGAGCGGCTTGTGAAGCTGAGAGACTATCTAGGTGAAGAGGGTCTAATGGTAGAAGTAAGCGTCTTCGTATTTTCACAGTTTTTGAGACATTAAAAACACAATAAAAATGGATTTTCATCATATGGGACCGTTATTAGATCTTTGAGCACTGACAGACTTTGGAGCCACAGATTCCAAAGTTAAATAGAAATCAATAAACTGAATAGTTCCTAAATTCTTTACTGGTGGTCCATTCAGAACTTGCCTAGTTAAAAAGCTCTGGGTGTTGGCTTTTATATGTTTTTTTGTTTGTTTTATATGGATAACTGAATTATCTTGATTTATTTTTTCAGAGCCTTTTCAAAGGTCATCTAAAAGTGTTGTTGAAACCTGCAAAAACTGGAAAAACAGGATCCCATTTGGCAGCCAGCATTACATAATAACCTGGATTAGTTAAACCTCATTTTAAGAGCAGTGCACATGTGCTTTTTTTTATTTTAAAAAAAAAAAAAAAACTGTAATACAATTAGTGTGCTGGTGGTCATGTTGAAAAAAAATTACATTACATAGTGGGTCTCAAACAGAGCTATGTTAGGGACAATGGCTCTATTGACATGCCTGGTTAGGAGTAATTGATAAGTCGTTTGGACAGGGACGGTCAGGAGGGTGATTAACCGGTGAATTTGAGTCACATGTTTGTTTTGTTTCGTTGTCACATAATTACTGGCATTTTCTCCGCAAGCATCAGTGAATAAGGGAATACCGTCTCTACAACCGTTTGCAAAGTTTCTTCAATCAGTTTTCGGTTCACTATAATTGCGGCTTGTTCAAAGGCATCCTTGAGCAATATCGATTTCCTTTTTTTCAGTAATTATTTCTTTTCTCTACTTTTGCAGCAACCTAAATGGAATTTTAAAGTTAAGTAGAATGTGTACAAGGCATCTTGTTCCACTGAAACATATTCATCCCCCTTTGTAAGTTTTTCCTTTTTATTGCTTTTGAACATCCATCCATCCATCATCTATACACCGCTTAATCCTCACTAGGGTCACGATGGGGCTGGAGTCTATCCCAGCCAACTTAGGGTGAAGGCAGAGGACACCCTGGACAGGTCACCAGTCTGTCACAGGGCTACACTTAGAGACAGACAACCAAGCACACTCACATTCACACCTACGGACAATTTAGAATCACCAATTAACCTCAACATGTTTTTTGGACTGTGGGAGGAAGCCAGAGAACCGGAGAGAACCCACGCTACACGAGAACATGGAGACTCCACGCATAAAGAACCCGGGTGTCCTCACCGGGATGCGAACCAGCGATCTTCTTGCTGCGAGGCAACGGTGCAAACCACCTTGCAGCCCTTTGAACATACAATCATGGTCAATTTAATTAGACTTTTTTGACAAGTATTTACACAAAAATGGCAGTTTCATGAAAAAGTAAAAACAGATTTCAACAAAAATAATGTAAATTCATTAAAAATATAAAACTTAAAATAAGTGATTGCATAAGCATCGCCCCTCCCCTTCAAATCAGTATTTAGTTGATGCATTTTATTGGCTGGGGCTGCAGGGTGGCGCAGTTGGTTAGCACTGTTGCCCTGCAGCAAGAAAGTTGCCGGTTCACGTCCCGGTGGGGGCACCAGAATCTTTCTGCGTGGAGTTTGCATGTTCTCCCAGTGTAGTGTGGGTTCTCTCCAGGTTCTCTGGCTTCCTCCCACACAGTCCAAAAACATGCTGAGGTTAATTGGTGATTCTAAATCGTCCATAGGTGTGAATGTGAGTGTGCTTGGCTGTGTGCATGTGTCCCCTGCTTTTGCCCTCAGTCAGCTGGGATAGGCTCCAGCCCTCCTGCGATCCTAGTGAGGATTAAGCAGTGTATAGATAATGGATGGATGGGATTTTATTGGCTGCAGTTACAGCATTGTGTCTGTGTGGATAGGTCTCAATCAGCTTTGCACATCTGGACAATGCAGTTTGACCTCATATTGCTTTGCAAAACTAGTTAGAGGGTTACAGGTTACATGGGGACCATGAGTTAACAGCCGTTTTCAAGTCCAGCCATAACTTCTCAGTTTTATTGACGTCTATGGAGGTACATTTTCAAGCCTCCCAGGGCTTGCAGCCAAGAAGCATCTCCACGTTATGATACTGCCACTGCCATGCATCACGTATGGATGTTGTGTTCGTGATAATGTACAGTGTTTGGTGTCTGTCAAAAAGCTCAGTTCTAGGATCATCATACCAAAGAACCTTCATCCAGTTGCCCTCGTAGTCTCTCACTTGCCTTCTGGTGAACTCCAGTCAATTGTTTGTTGTTGTTTTGTTTTTTTTGACAGCGGCTTTCTCTTTGCCACACTCCCATAAAGCTTTGAAGCTTGTGAAGTAAAGACAACAGTTGTCATATGCACAGTCTCTCCCACCTCAACTGCTGAAGATTGTGAACTCCTTCAGAGCAATCAAAGATGTCTTGATGGCCGCCCTCATGAGTTTTTTTTTGCAGTCGTTCAGTTTATGAGGACGACCTGCTCTAGGCAGATATATGCATGGGCCACATTCCTTCTGTTTCTTAATGACAGACTTCACTGTACTCTGAGGAATATTTAGTGACTTGGAAATCACCAGACTTATTCTTTTCAATAACCTTTTCATGAAGGTACTTGTGAGTCATTTTAATTGGAGTGAATACTTGTGCAGTCACTTATTTTACATTTATATTTTTAAATATTGACAATGTTTTGCAGAAATCTGTCTCTACTTTGACACAAGTTTATTTTGGGGGAAATTCTTGTCCAAAAAAAAAATAAAAAAATTATTACCTATAAGCTCCGATCAAGTTTCACACTTTCCTCCGGCTACGTCACCCCACATCTCACATTTGAAAGGTCCAGGATCCAACCAGAAGATGCGGTCGATCATAAAGTGACTCTTTAGACTTTGGTTTTGCTCCACTGCTAAAAAAAAAATCTATGACTTTAACACTTTAAGAGAGTGCAAGTGAAAAAAAAATAAAGTGGGGAGAGGTTTCATAGAAAGAGATACAAAATGTGAAAGAAAACAGTCTTGTTGAAATGTATTTTACGTGGCATTAGACCAAAACAAGGTCACTTTCAAAAGCCCTTCATTTCAATTTGTGACAATCACTTATTGAAAAATTGCAGGACAACTGTTAAGAGTTTACAGAACCAGGTTTCTTTATTGTGCTTTCCTTTTGGACAGTCTAACAAGTTACCCAACAACCTTTCATTTGAATGTAAAGCTTTCATTCCTCACTTTCTGAGCTCCGATGCCAGTCATTCAAAAACATAAAAAAAAAATCCCCCTCCACACATCATAAAAAAGTAGGTTTTACGTGGCAGATATCTTTCTCTGTGCCATTAGAAACTTTACAGGTGGCCCATCCTAAACAATGTAAACAATTCAATACAAATCTTTATGTTGCCATGTCATACAAAAAAAATAAAATCTTGATGAGAACTTTCCTTATGAACAAAGTAGTTCAAATAGTGCATGTGAATTTATATAGAAACAATATATGATACACTTGTTTTCATCAAAATATAATCTTATTCAATAAACCAAACACCACACAAAATTGGTCACATATTTACATTGTAGCCTGTAAAAAGCTGCACTCATGCAGGGGAAGCATTTTTTAATGAGCACACATAGGATGGCCTGACTCATGATTGTCCATTAACGTCTACCACCTCCACAACCTCCACAAGAATGTCCATGTGATGGTTGACGAAAACAAAAAAAATGTTGGCAGCTTAATGTCAGTCCTGCTAGCCTGTTTGTCTTTTTTAAGATCGTGGGAGGACCTGAGCGATGGTGTCCCGAGCGCTCTGAGTGAGCCGCTCTGGGAATTTGACCTCGTAGTCCACTATCAGGTCACCTCGACGATCGGGCCGCTTGGGATAAGGCAACCCCTCCCCGCTGACTCGTCGCTTCATCCCCGGCTGCACGATATCTGTTGACGTCACGGTCACTGTTCTGCCGTCCAGTGTGGGTGCGTTTACTGTGCAGCCGCACAAAGCCTGATGGGCAAATAAAACAGAAAATTAACACGTATTAGGAACAACTCTTTAGGTTAGCATTCAAGCAGTTTTACACCGTGTTCTAATGAAAAAGATATTTAGAGTTATATCTTCTCTTAACTTACATCTCTGAGTGAGACCTTAGCGTTGTAGACAATGTCGGAACCGTCACGTTTGAACACTGGATGTGGCCTATCCTTCAACACAAAGACCACGTCAGCTGGAATGTTTCTCGGAGTCTCGTCCCCCTCTTTAGGAAACGTGATTTTGGTGCCCTCTTTCCACCCTTTCTTTATCTGCACCTCCAGAATTTTATCTTCTGTCCTTATTGATCTTCCGTCAGGGTTCAGCCTTTTACGAGATATCTTCATTTTTTTTGTGCAACCTGACAACACCTCCTCCAAGGTCACCTGGAGATCATGAATCACTGGGGGGTCCTGCTGCTTCTTTACAACGCTAGTGTGGCCGCCCATTCCTCCCATACCTCCCATTCCTCCCATACCGGTGCTGAAGGAGCGAGGGAACCCGCCCATACCGCCGCCCCCCATCCCAAAGCGGGCAAATGGGTCGTCTGTGTCCATGTTCTCTTGGCCATTGTGGGCACCAAAGAACTGTTCGAAGGGGTTACGTCCACCGAAGAACTCTGCAAAGATGGCATGAGGGTCACCCTGGAAAGTGTAGCTGAAGGTGCCAGGACCACCACCACCGGGACCTGTGGGGCCTCCTCCGCCTTTCAGACCTGGATGCAAGAAACAATTAAGTTAATATTTGCATGAAAGGATTGAAATTTTGTGTGTTGCATTACATCAATGTTTTGCTTTGTTCCTATACAGAAAAAGACGTGTCATTCATAAAGTAGAAATTTTGTGCCATTACAATTATCTTTTACTTTTATCTAATTCATAATACACTGCAAATAATTAGACAATTAGATTTCATACATTTATTTTTTTCAGTTTTTATTAATATTGGTTTTAGATATTATTGGATTTTGAATTTGAAGTGTCATTTACACTACTATCTTGTTCACCTGAATGCTAACATGAAAAATGTAAAGTACAACATAGAGGTCTTTACATATGTATACTGGAATATTTTTGTGCTTTAAATTTGTACACATGCTGCAAAATAAAGGACATTGAGCCATAAAGATAAGTGTGGCCACTAATCCAAGAGGCAACGACAATGGCAAAACACCTGTCATGTTGCAATGACACCAAAAGTCTACTGTAAAATTCTCTGTCTACATGTATAGCTAACAGACAGAAAATGCCTCCATGTTACTACTGTAGGTGTATGCCCCATTAGCCTGGGATCAACCAGGAATCAATCCAGAATATAACTGGATATTTGCAGTAGTTAGGTAATTGTATTTTTGTGCCAGATTTTCTGATTTTGATGCGGACATATTGATATAAAAACCCACCATGAAATAATAGTGACTGAGCCATGTGATATCATTTCTTAAGTTGTTTTGGCTGGATTTTAAAGCTGTAGAAAGTTGGTGCAAAATAGCAAAACCCTCTTAAGTCTAGACAGGCCATGAAACCTTCAGCTCCACAGTAAAAAAATGTGGCACAAACCTACAAAATTCTACAGTGGCAGCTGTTAAATTATTACTTTTCCGTCTCCTTCTTTAAAAATGTAGGAAAATAAGAAGTACCTGGATGACGACGAACTAAAAAGATGTGTTATTGTATAATGCTGTGACCCAAATAACTAAACCTGCCTTGTATGACCACTAAAATTATTAGAATTATTTAAGCTTTTTTTTGTAAAACCAAATCTGACTGGGGACTCCGTACATACAGTTTTTATGTCCACGTGGCCACTGAAACTGCAGTTATGACTCTCTTCCAACTCATTTTGATAGAAGCCCAATCATTCTAGCCTGAAATAACTTCCTAAGCAAGGTGGCTACTGATTAACAAGCACAAGCCATATAGAAAAAGATGGACAAGAGACTGTAACGTCACCCATTGATTTGGCTGTCACCAGTTTGGTCTTTTGAAACTAGACGTGATGAGCGACGGGCAGATCTAACTGGGAACTCCCTAAAGCACACCCTGCTTTACTTTAAATGGGAAAACACTTTACAAAACGAATCCTGCTGCCTTCAAACAGTCAGCAATTAGGACCATAAACTCATTGCGAAAATGTTTCCTGAGGTAGTACACCCAGTGACAAGAGATGTCATTTTCTCATAGACTTCAGTACTATCGGAGTCCTTTTTGCAACCAGAGGAGTCCCCATCTGGTGGCCATTAGAAAGAAAGCACAGTTTGAGGCTGTTCTGCTTTGGCTTCACTTTTCAGACTCTGAAGCTATGTCCATATTTTACATACCATCTATTATCTCTCCCCCTAATCATGCAGAGGGCAGCCTATTTATTGTGTTGGCTGGAAATAAATGGCTAGAGGTGCTAGCAGGACGGCCGCTGAGTGGTGAGACCTGCCTTTAGGGACTTTGATAAGATTTAACATAAGACGTGTTTTTTTTTTGCACATGAGAAACAAGAACTTGTTGTTACAGCAAACAACAGAATGGACATCATGAAATAACCAAGTGTATTTAAAAGGTTATAGGGCAGGTAGAGAGTGAGGTCATCTGATAGAGATAAGGAGGTTGTAGATGCTGGCTTGTGGAATATTTTCCCACTCTTTTCCCAAGATTTTCCCTTAAAGGGCTTGGTGAAGTTAGCGGATGTTTCGGGAGGCAGGATCACATAGTTGTCCATCCAAAGCATCACGTGGTAGATTAAAGTGCCTGGCTACAGCACTGAGAGACACATCCAGCATGACAACAGCCTGTTCTCATCTTTCTCTTGTCATCTGTGGCATCGTGTCATTTGATTTTTTTTATTTTTATTTTATTTATATAGTTACTTGTCATGGGAGTGTCTGTGTAATGGTCATTCTATCTGATCATTGTCCTTTAAAGCCACGCATGATTAGAATGGGGATTAACTCAGTGGTAGAGGCTAAATTTAACCATTTTTCTAAGTGTAATAATAGATATCGGATTACCAACTTTTTCTCTGTGGTAATATTTTTGTTCAGTGTTCAATGTCACCCAGGCCAAGCACAAAGCACACTGTGTATATACTTTCTGTGCAAAAACGCTGTTCCTATCAAACACATAAGCCTCCAGCTCCACTCCTGAAACCAGATTAATACACTTTGTGCTTCAGGTTGTCGCTCACTTCTTGTAGAAACACGTGAAGTGAGTTTTGACGTTGGTAGAGCCTCTCCTAACTCGACAAGCCCTGACAGGAGGAGAGCGCCATGACACCCCCGGGACGACCGTCCGCCTGGTCCCATACATGTTTGTTGATGTCCATTCAGCCATGTTTACCATTGACTTCTATTCTAACGGTAACTAGCTACAAACATTTGCCTACAGTGTTGAGTGATTCAAAAAAGCTTACCTTCTTCGCCAAAACGGTCGTAGATGTCCTTTTTCTTGGGGTCGCTCAACACGTCGTAAGCTTCGGCGATCTCTTTGAATTTCTCCTCGGCTCCCGGCGACTTGTTTTTATCAGGGTGGTAGCGAAGAGCCTGTTTACGATAAGCTTTCTTAATGTCCTCTTCCGTCGCTCCTTTCTTAATTCCCAAAATGTCGTAGTAGTCTTTACCCATTTTCGACCGTCCGGCGGCCCGTGTGGGATAAACGCTGAACAGTTAACGGCGAAGTGTCAGCTGCGCCTCCGCGGTCGGTCGTCGGTCTCCGTTCACGCCGCCGTGGCCCGAGCTTGTCTGTTTATACACAGCGTGGAAACTTCCAGAGTTTTCCATAAGCACCCCGAACGGTCTCCACTGTGACGCCTCGGCGGAGCCACGCCCAGCGGGACGTCACGCCGCGCTGCCTTCGAGTGCAGTCGGAAATACCTCCGCTCCGGACATGCCAGGCCTAATCAGTCCCCCCCAGCACCCCATGTCTCAGTAAATACCACCACAAGAGCATGCAACATAGCTTTATTGCTAATTATACTGTGGGACATTTTAAACAATACACAAGAAAAAAGTGTCTCCATGTCTAAGTGTTCCTTGGCAGACTAGAACACAAGTTATCTCAAACTGGATGGACTGCTGACTGGAACTTTTGTTATTTTTGGGTGTGGCTCAAACTACTAAATATCCTGCATACTGACAGACACTAAATCACTGCAAAGTTTATTCAGCTTACAACAATATGAGCTAACTGCACTTTGGTTGATTGATTGGCTCAAAGTCATCTTATGAGTTGTCAAACTACCTCAATACAGGCGGCTGCAGTTTCAGGACTGCACTTCTAGGACCCTTGTCTTAAAGGAATTACATGATCGCTAAAGTGTTCTCGAATTCAAATACAACTTTCTGTCCAAATACTTGTATTATTTGAAGGGTTTTCCACCCCAGCAGTACTTTCCAACGTACATGGCATGGTTTTAAAGCTGTGTTACACTCTAAATATTACTTTTTGTCCACGCACTTATAGTTTTAAAGGTTTATTCCACCACTATTGTACTTTTTTTTTACACAGAAGTTATGGTTTTTGAGATGTTTGACTCTAAATACTACTTTTTGTCCGTGTACTTATAGTGTTGAAGGTATATTCCACCCAAAGTACAGCTTCCAATCCATGTACATTTAGTTTTAAAGGTGCATTCTACCTTAATAGTACTTTCTAACACACAAGTTATGATTTTAAAGATGTATTACACCCCAAATACTACTTTTTGTTCAAGTACTTGTAGGTTTAAAAGTTTATTCCACGCCAATAATACTTTCGAACACACCAGTTATGGGTTTAAAGATTCATCTCACCCCAAATACAATTTAGTGTCCAAGTGCTTATAGTGTTAAAGGTTTATTCCACCCAAAATGCAGCTTTTTGTCCATGTACTAATAGTTTCAAAGATTTATTCTACTGAAATAGTACTTTCTAATACACCAGTTATGGTTTTAAAGACGTATTACACCCCAAATACTATTTTTTATTCAAGTACTTATAGTTGTAAAGGTTTATTACCCTTTAATATTACTATTAACACACAAATTATGGTTTTGAAAACGTATTACACCCCATATACTATTTTGTGTCCAAGCACTTACCTTTAAAGGTATATTCCACCCAAAATACGACTTTCTGTGCATGTTCATTTAGTTATAAAGGTTTATTCCACCCCAATAATACTTTCTTCCACACCAGTTATGGTTTTAAGGAGTCATTTCACCCCACATACTAGTTTATGTCCAAGCACGTATAGTTTTTAAGGTTTATTTAAACCAAAATACAACTTTCTGTCCTTGTGCACATAGTGGCATGTGTTGTTGTTTTTGTTTTTTTTTTAATTTCTTTTCTTTGAATTGCATGAGTTTATCTTAACAGTGAAGTCAGTTAGACTCTAGTATCAATAAATTAATACTAAAGACATACTGCCACACCTCAGGCTCGGCAGCTCCTCCAAAAATATCAAATAATTGCACAGCAGGCAAGATGCCCATTTTGTTTGATTCATGTCTCTGCATGATCTTTCAAGTACAATAACAAGAACAAATGTACAAATGACACTTTAAAGCGGCATTGTACATGTATCATACTGACAAGATCTATGTCCACCAGACAAGAAATAAAAGACATACAGGCATTGTGAGTGTTCAGCTTGAAAACAGTAACCAATTTATTTTTTTTAAATTAATTTAAACAAATAAAATCTTGAAAAAAAAATCCACACACTTCAGAAATACATTGATGTATTCATATATGTAATTAGATATGTTGTTAAATGCAACCTAATGTACTTTATGTTTTGTTGAAAAAGTCTTACTTTTTGTATGAATAAGCATTGTCACAAGAATCCACATCTGCACTGGGTGACTTTCCTGTGTTTCAGTAATCAGCAAGCTACAGTTCAAAGTCAAAGTTAGCTTGTAAGAAGTGATTATCGCCGTTTGTATCTTGGGACCATTGCATCATTCTGTCGAGTGAAGCAAAACCTGTTTTTCAAGGATAAGAATGTTGCAAGTTAAAAGGTGGTTAGTTCTGATCACTGTAGGATTTTTTTTTTTTTTACAGAGGAATCTCAAATTCTTTGTAATGTCCCTTTTAGCTATTTTTATGAATAAATTCAAAGTATATGTGCATACAGATGGTTTTGTGAGTTTCTGATACCGTAATTACAAAGCGGGGACTTGATGTGTGCTAGTTTTGAACTTGATTTGTGGTGTTTCACTACTGTAAAACAAATATTGATTGAGTAATTGAGCCAAACGAATATCCCAGATAGACCTTGTTTGTTCCAAAAACATTCTGAAAAAGTACCACCAAGTTCTGTTAATGTTTTCAGTGGGAAGTTTTCTTTTAGTTCCTAGAAAATTTTAAAGGCAGGATAAAGTTCTTCAAAGTTATGCTGTTAAAACATTTTCCACATGTTGCATTACAATGTCCTTCCTTCCTTTTTTTTTTTTTTTTTTAAACTATGGAGCATTGTGGGGATGTTTTGTTGAACTACATCTCCAAAACATCCTCGACTCTTGCAAGGAAAATGTTTTACATTTGTTAATATATCAGTTTACAAGAATGTTTTATAAAAAACATTCTGCCTCTAAGGTTTCTAGAACATTTTGAAAACATTTGTCAGATTTTAAAACACTACTACAACTTGTAGGTATGTTGGTTAATGTTGTGAAACATGTCCTGGAACAACTGATTGCTAACATTACAATTTACTTGAGTAATCAGTAATGCTTTTAATTTTACTTTTTTGTGACAACATACTACACAACTTAAGCAAATTCTATTTGTGAACATTATACATAAATAAGGTAAACACAATGTATACAAAATTGCATTCAAACAAGGGTAAACAAATATTTAAAGATGAGATTAAGGTTTAAACTTGTGAATGGACCAATTTGGAAAGATCAAAACAATGTGGAAAAACTACAAGAAAAAAAATGGATATAAGTATGAAAATGAAGATGACAATTTAATGGTCAAGTGAACCTCAGTCAGTCGTTTCCAGTTGGACAAGAGCTGCCATTCAAAGTGCAAGAAATCCCAACCAAACGAGTAAATCCAATTATCTTCGTAACCTTTCAATTTGCTTAAGTCTCATTGGCTACATAGCTGACGTGTGGGCGTGGTCGTATGACTGTTACGGGTGTTGATTGGCTGCAGTGAACCCGTAGTGCCCGCCTACCGCGTCCTCAGCAGTTGCACATTACTCCGCTGATTGGACGCTGCGCTGTCACTCATCCAGGATATTAAGGAAGGGGCGCAAGCTGCCAAGATGAAGCACTACGAGGTAAGTAGTGTCCATGAATCTCTAAACCGTCAATGGGTCGCTTTATGGGGCCAGAATTTAATTAATGAAACCAATTTAGAATTATTTAGTAATTCTTCAAAGTGTGAAGTTAACCAGGAAGTCAAATTCAGAGCTTTAACTGTGTGCAGGGGATATGGCATGCTGCTGCTGCACCGCCGCCTGTCACCGACTCCTTGCTACGTGACCGGGCTATTGTGGCCCGTTGTACTTAAATTCACGGTTTTGCTGACTAATTTTGCACCAGAAACAACAACTGTACCCGCACAGTTGAAACGAATTGTAGTTACGTTGTGCATTTGTTAAGTTCTCGATGTGAAGTGCACTCCTCGTGAAGCTAAATGGAGACCTTTCTGTGTGGGGTATTGCTCCGCATCATCGCCATCTCTGGCCGGAATGACTCATGGCGCTTCTTATCTCCGTCTTACCCAATAATGCAGGTGAACAGTCAAAGTGCGCAATCTCGGGTCTGTCAAATGAACCCTCAAACTTTGGGATTTTCTTTTAATCTCGTAGTATATGCGAGCTAATGAGCCACTTTAAATGAAACACGAATAAATGTTAACTGCACTGTAAGTTTCTCTAAAACAGTTTTTTCTTGCACACCTTAAAACCCATCAGACAGGATTTGAAGCAGTCTGACAGAAACTGACCCAACCAGTGGCTGCTCTGGTTCTGCTTCTTTCTGATGGCACTTTTAAGACCTATAAGGGGGGGGGGGGAAACAGCATTTATTGACATAATAATCAAAAACAGCATTGAACAGAATACAAGTGAAATGATAAATGTGCTCTTAAATGTGAAGATTATGTAGCAACTAAAACCAGACACTGATTTCTCATTCAATGTGTGCACTGGTGTCTGCATTACTTGCACTGGCCCATGTGGCAATCATAGGCCTCTCCTGCAACCCCTAATCGATTTGTTTACTGACCATCTTCTGTTATCACCTCCTTATCTGGGGCCAATGCCCTTGGCTAGAATTGACAACTTGGATGTACAGACAGGTGACAAATTCAAGGAAAAACCAACAATAAGGGTCTTAGTAAGTTGTTGGACCATCACGTGGTGTGAGAATAGCTTCAGTGCACCTTCTTAGGGCTACAGCAGATTATTGGCACTGATATTTGGCATTTTGAGCAGTTTCCCCATTGGCTGTGTTTTTACATGTGACTTTTGCTACACTTCTACCGTGAAAGATCTGAAACTGAAAAGTTTCTGAAAATCAGGGTTTCTGTGTCCTGAGCTCAGGCTCGCAGGATTGTTCATTGTGGCTGCTACCGCTCTGCTGCCCTGTACCTCAGTAGTTACACTGTCATGAAAGAGATTGCTCAGTGACCCATAAACTCAGCAGATCTAACTTGTTCACATATACCTGTAATATTCTATTTTTAGAAGGCTCAGCAATAGCCTCACTAATTATACAAACTGCAAAAAACATTAACATGAACTCAGTGTGTGCGGTCGGGATTTCATTGTTGTCTGCACCC